CCTCCTTGCCCGGGGAGAACATTAGTTTTCTGAGTTTTATAGGGAGCATTGATGTTCTGCATTCTGTGTGCCAAATTAATTTGGGATCAGTATTGTTAGGGAGTATTTGACCGTATTTTCTTCCGTAATTAATTAATTCTTGTGCCACCTCTCCCCACGTCCAAATTTTATGTTCCCTATGGCTACAGCTGGGGGTTACAGCCCTTTCCAAGGTGGCTCTTTCCCCATTTCTGAAGCTTGCTGTTTTTCCTTTTAACTGAATGCACATGTGTGCCACGGCCTGCAGGGAAAGGGGATAGGGACCGGACACTGCACAAATGGATCTTGACACAGTAGAGGTCAGTGAAGCAATGCCAGGTTTATTAAGGGGAACATGGGCTTAAATAGGGTAGGTTCAGGGGGTGGACTTAGGCTTAGGGAGAAGCAAGAGACAGGCAGCTCAGGGAGAGTAGTGGTTGGGAGACAGGGGAAAGGTGGGTGGCAACCTTGGGTCTCCAGGGAAAAGGGCCAGTGGGAGCTCTCTCTGCAGTGCACCAAACATCAACCAATGGCAGGCAGAGGAGTGGAAAGCAGGGGAGGACAACAGGTTTTGGAGGGAAGACGATGAGAGGAGAGGGAGACAATATGGAGAATAGGATTTTTAAAACAACAACTGGGATATACACAGTGCTATGACCATACAACAATAAATTGGGGAAAACTGGGGATAACGGGATGAAACTGTCCAGTCCATTGTAGAGACATATCCGGTAAATGAGTGTCTGTTCCGACGTGATTATGTCTATTCTGGGTTGTAGATTTTTCTCCATGTTTGAAACTGCCTCCACTCGGTTTCATGTTCCCCAACACATGTGTCTCAACTTGCATTTGCAGTTTAAACAAAGGCAAAGCTTTTTGCATTATGACAGTTTAAGAAGCAATGGCGAATCATACATTGCCTTTCACCAGTTCTTTACAGGCCCCAGCTGGAAAACCGGACTGATACTGGGACAAAAGTGTTCTGCCCTGGAGTGCAGGTCCTTTCCAGCTCCTCTCACAGAGCCAGCCCTGCTTCCAGCTCTGTGCATTCAATTACAACACAAACAGAAAAAAGAGGTGAGAACTCACTGTCTTTTAACAATATATTTGTTTATATATTATCCATTAAACAAAACACTATCTTCTGAAGTAAAGTACCCCTGCTGGTACTGGTAGCAGGGACACCAGGATGGTGTGGGCTGGAGTGAGTCCAGGGAAACCCAGTTCTCCCGTGAAGAGGCCCTGTCAGCCAGAGAGCAGCTGGGACAAGCGGGCAGAGGTGCGGGG